TTGTGCATCCGTCCTCAGTTGGAGAGGCGGTGAATGTGGCATTGAATGCCGAATTTAATTTCAAGTCGCCACGACTTGGTTGGAATGCACACTCCAACAGCTCGTCGAGCGGGCCTATGCCCATGGTTTCCAGCTACGCTGAGGACGAGGGAACAGAGCTCCGAGCTGCAAGGCAGCATGTAAACACGCGACGGTGATTTATCTGTGGAGACACCCGTCACCTGCGGAACCCCTGCGCAAGGCGCGCCAAGGTTCTTCAAACCATCGCTTCAACGCCTACCAGTTTTGTTCGTCGCGGGGAAACGACACCACTCAGTAGGCGCGGGGCGATCTACTTGAGAAGAAGTGAGTTCTGTTTTGCCTTAGACCAGCATATGTTGACTAGGGTTTGATCCTGGATGTGTTTACCCTAGACGACCGTACACAGTTATACACCCTCGTCAATGGAATGACGGGGGAGGAAGATGACGACGTCCGCCTCGAGGCTATGCCTGAGATACTCTTCTTGAGCTGGACGAGATGTCCGTTGAAGAGTTTGGCAGTGCCTTGAAGGCAAGCGATTTGGCCGAAGTGGTCATTGTACGACCAAACGAGGAAATAAACTCGTCATCGCTTCTGGATGAAGCTGTCTTGGAAGACACCAAGAGAGGGTTGAACGCACGGAGTGGATAGTCGATCCTACGGAATCCCTTGTATCTGTGATATCCTTTGGTAAATCCATCTTCCGTCCTACCTCCGGACCGAGGTGTGCGTCATGAGATCGACCTGGTTCCAGGAGCCAAATACTGCGTAACACGCCGATGGCCCCTGCAGAAGAAGCAGTGCGACGTCTTTGACGCCTTTTTCCGTGCGCCCACGTTTTGTGTTCGGAAGCCGAACGTCAAGTGGCGTGTCGTTTAAGCTTACAATAAGCTCAACATTGCCATCATTCCGGCACAAACACTAATTCCGAGAAAGATGTTCTTGAGAACAACATGGTGGGGTGTACGAAGTACAGTGCACTCGATTCGGTAAATGAATAGTACCAATTGCTCATGAGAGCGAGTGACATTCCGCTGACAGCGGTAAGCACTCCGAGCGGCATGCTCTAGGAGTGGCTGGTGATGCCCCAAGGGCTGTCAAATGGACCAGCAAGTTTTAATCGTCTTGTACGCAGTTGTTCAGGCGCCACAGGGCGTATGCACAGATATACTTTGACGACATTTACGTTCATAGTCGTGCGGAGCACGGGGGGACGGACGAGGAAAACCACATAGTCCATCTCAGAGCGGTGCTCGAGTGCATGCGCACTAACAAGCTGTGCGCCAATGCGGACAAGTGCAACTTCGGCGCAGAAGAGATTCCCTTTTAGAGTGCTTCATTGGGAAGCGTGGCTTTTGAGCGGATCCCGCTGAGGTTAAGGCCGTTGTAGATTGGCCGGTTTTAAAGAGACCAGAAGAGCTTGCGTAAGAGGCATGGCCTCGCCAACTACGCAGAAATGGCGCGGCCATTATCCAATCTCCTTAAAAAGGATGCGGAATGGTGCT